TGCAAATTTGCAAAGAAGAAATTCTGAATTCAGTGCACACCTTCACCCTCCACAATTCTTTGGCCATAGCATTGAATGCTGATGCCCAATTTGGGAGAATGGTGCTATGGTCCAGTCCACCTGACAGCATGCATGCTCTCTGATACCAGCATAGAGGACCTGCCTGCAAGATGCCCAGAAGTGTCTTAGTAGCAGGAAAGATTCCACTAGGTCCATCTCTCTCTCTATATGGACGAGGTTTGTGAACTGGGGGTTGTAGCACCAGCTGTCCCCCATGCATTTGGAAATCCAGGAGATCTCAGAGTACCTGGTTGCACCTGAAGGACTCTGGGCTGTCAGTGAGATTGCTGTGGGTTCATCTGGCCATTTCAGCTATTGCCTCACTAACTGACCAATGCTCAGTCTTCTCCCACCGTATAGTAAAAAGATTCCTGAAGAGCATCTTTATCCACCAGTCAGGGAATCAGTCCTAACATGGAACCTTAACCTGGTCCTTGTGAAACTGATGAATGCTCTCTTTGAACCCATGGCTACATGCTTGCTATCCTATCTCTCCATAAAAACACACCTGCCAGGAGAATCAGGGAGCTACGGTTATCTACAAGGACAAAGTATCCATGAGGACATATCCTATATTTCTTTCTTAAGTAGTGTCAGAATTCTATGGCAATGAGCTCTCCCACCTGCCTGTGTTCTTCCCAAAGCTTCATGCTGGGAGAAGGGAGCAGAGGTTGCACACGGAGGAAGTGTACACAGCCATATTTTTCTACCTGGACACAAGAAAATAATTCTGGCAGCCTCCCTGGCTGTTTCTGGCATATACAAAAAGAATCAAGGGACAGGCCATGTCTACAGAGAGAACATCAAACTCTCCAGTGCATCAAGATATGTTACCAGCTAGTGGTCAGGTACTAAAGCACAGTCTATCTCGGTAGCTTCCTTAGCAAACCTGCCTGTTCAGGATATTTGCAAAGCAGTGATTTAGTAATCCGTACACATGTTGCTGAGCATTACATGTAGGTGCAAGTGGCAAGAGCTGATGCAATATTTGGATGTTGCAGTATCCAATAACATACAATATCCATGTTGCAGTCCACAGTCACAGAGATTCCTTGTATCCATGCCAAGTGATGACTACTGCTTGGAAGTCACCAACAGTGGACTTGGATATGGACTAGCACCTGATGAAGTAAAGGATTACTCACTTGTATTCACCCACAAAAGCTTATGCTCCAATACATCTGTTAGTCTAGAAGGTGCCACAGGACTCTTTGTCACTTGTACAGTAACTGATGATCTTTGAGATATGTAGTCTGTATACATATTCCACAACCCACCAGACAACTCTGCTACCTCAGAGTCCTGATGTCACAGGCTCTCACAGTGGAGAAGAAACTGAAGAGTGGTGGGGGGGGGCACATAAGGAGAGAAAGAGTCATGTGGTGCCCCAGTGAATATTGTTGACTAGAAAATTCTCTGTGTATGCACTGGACATGCACTCACCAAATGTAAGTAATCTCTTTTTCATCATCTGTAGGACATATTCATATGCCATTGTAGAACTTTAGCACAGAGTTGTTTTCCAGTAGTTTTATTTATTTACTTACATTGGGATTTATTGTGTACAATTTTGCAGTAAACTTTAAAGCTCATGACCTTGCCGGTAGCCCCACTGTCTGTTTGAAATGTAAATGACTGAGTTGGGTCTCTTCGTGATCCTTGGAATTTTTAGTTGTACAACCTCCTTTTAACCTGTACTCCTCACAGCCCCCACACAGTGAGTAGTCCTAAGACGAACTCATCTGAGGAACTGTCACTGTCATTCCCTATCTGGAGTATATTATAAAACTATTTCATACTTTTGCAACACAATTTTTTTATTTTGCAATAAGCACACCAAAAGCTGGGCATTTGCCTTTTCCAATGTCTTGTCCTACAATAAGTGCTTTTGTTTGCCCTTCTTTGCAGACCACAGCTGTTTTCACTTGTGTTGCCGTTTATTTTCTATTGCATGTAATGTATATCTGGCATTAGTTCTAATGTTTTCAACTATATGATCTGGAAGTTCTTCTGCAAATGTATGACAAATTTGCATGATGAGGCTAACTGGCGCAGCCTGGCTGCAGATTGATTTCAGGTTGTTTGATCAGATGTACTGAAAATATATCTCCAATATTACATTTCTTTTAAGCACAAAGTTGGGGAGGTTGGGGTTTTGGGGGTTTTTTGTTTTTGTTTTGCAACTGCTGGCTATCTGTGCTGACTAATTAGGAAGCAGTCCTTACCCACTGCTGTATTCAGTGTAGCCACTCAGATTTCTATAGTTTCATAATCCAGTTTCGCAGCCACTTTGCATTTTATCGTTGAGCCCCAGAATAAACTCCAGTTTTCACAGATCTCTCCATACATTTGCAATATAGCATTGAGAGGAAAGTTGTTCACAGCTATTGCCCAAAATGATTCAGTGCTGGTCAGCCATAACAAAGAAAGGAATAAAAACTCCTTTACTTCTGACACCATGTTAGGAGCTGATGTAGAGGGTTACACTGAGAAACCCATTTATAGTGAACTAGTTTTATTGCTCTGACAAAACCCAAGATCTATGCTACATATCCATGAGCTATATATACTGGCAGCTTAATTATTAACTATTTATGTGTTATGGTTCTGTGGCAACTGCATCATAATTAAGCTTCCTTTAAGAACTTCCATTTTATTTTGTTCAGAGGAGAGTCTCACTTTTTTTTGTACTCCTCTAACATAATGGTATGATTATGGTTCAAGTTTCCATAGATATAATTTCTGAGACAAGGATTCCTAAAATACTATTTTTAGATACATGTGTGGCATATTTTTAAAAGTATTTTAAGGTGTTAAAATGCAAGTTTTTGTGTCCACCTGGAAGTGCCAAATTATAATTTGATAACAAAATACATATTGCTGTGAGATCACAATCACTCACTTCTAGAGAGTCTTAACATAAGAGAGAGAAAGACCGATTTATCAAACACTCTGTAGCCTAGGAAAAAGAGTTTCCTGAGTTGGAAAAGAGGAGACCAGGAATTCAAATTCACTATAGGACAGGCATGATCCCCAACCTAGAAGACAGTTTGGGAACAACCACTGAACAATTCCTCCCATTTTTTAAAAAGACATTAACAGGCACAGAACCCAGCTCTCCAACATGACAAACCTAAACTTCAGTTAGATTCACTATATACTGTGCCTTTCAGAGTGACTAAGCTAGAGAAGTCTGTGTGTGCACAGAAAATTTGAAAATGTCAAACACTTTCATTACACATTTCAATAAAAAGAGCACTTTTCAATTAAATATTTTGATTTGAAAAATTCTGACCAGACATACTTAGCTCCTTTGCAGTTAGAGTTTCTGGTGGAAAGGAATATCTAAATTATGTATATGTACTAGGGCTGTCAATTAATCACAGTTAATGCCTGTGATTAATTGAAAACACTGGGTGAGGAGGGAAGCATCAGTTGCGAAAGGACCCGACAGTGTCCAGTGAGGCACAGTAACCCAATACATCCCTGGAGGACAGGAAGAGAAGAGGAAGTGGCTCCCATCCCAGCTCCGGCAGAGAGGAAGCGATCCTGACCCTGCCGTGCCCTATTTCCTCCGGCCAGCACCTCACTCTGGTGACCGACCTTCCTCCCCCACACCACGCCCCATTGCCTCATTGTCCCTGGCTGGCTCCTTGCTGTGGGGGATACCCCAGAGAGAACTGGGGCCTGGTGAGCTCAGCCTCCCTGCACCAACCCTTCTTCCCCACCATAGGTGCCAACTCCGTGGGTGCTCTGGGGCTGGAGCACCCATGGGGAAAAATTGGTGAGGGCCCTGCATGCACCAGCAACTCCCTGACCCGCCCCCCCACCCCAGCTCACCTCCACCTCCTCCCCTGAGCAGGCTGCCGCATCCTGTTTCTCCCCCTCCCTCCCAGCACTTGGGCTACAAAACAGCTGTTTCATGTGGCAAGCGCTGGGAGGGAGGGGGGAGGAGGAGGAACCTGACACCCTGGGGGAAGAGGTGGGGCCGGGGTGCAGTTTTGGGGAGGGTCTAATAAGGGCAGGGAGGGGGTGGAGTCGGGGCGGGGCCAGGGGCAGGAGGGTGCAAGCACCCACCGGTGCCAACAAAAGTTGGCACCTGTGCTCCCCAACCTCCATTGCAAACAAGAGCTCACTAAGCTGAAGGGACCCCACCTAACTCAGTAAAAGAAGGCGAGCCTGGCAAACCCAGTACCAGAAACCACGCTTCCAAAAGCAGCAGCAAGACTCCTCCTTCACCCTCTTCCTTCACAAGTCATTGCTTGTCCACCCCTGCCTCCCCACACGTCCTCCCTGAACACTGAATGTAGATTTCTATGGTGAAACTCTTCCTTTCTGGACAGGAGGCAAGCCTGGTGAGCTCAGAAACCCAGCCCAACAGGAGCAGCATTGAGAATTCACCTTTCTCCTGCACAGCTGACCCTTCTCCTGCACAACTCACAGCCCTCCCATCTGCAGAATACTGAATTTCTCAGTTGACTTGTAGGTTCTAAAATTTAACATTGTTTTATTTTATTTTGAGTGGTTATGTACAAAAATAACAATAATAATTCTACATTTGTAAGTTCAACTTTCATAATAGATTGTACTACAATACTTGTATAAGGTGAACTTAAATACTACTTCTTTTATCTTTTTTTACATAGCAAATATTTGTAATAAAAAATAATAATATAATGTGAGCACTGTACACTTTGTATTCTGTGTTGTAATTGAAATCAATATATTTGAAAATGTAGTAAACATCCAAAAATATTTAAATAAATTGTATTCGATTCTTGTTTAACAGTGTAATTAAAACTACCATTAATTTTTTTATCTCATGATTAATCACAATTTTTAACTCTTTGACAGTCCTAATATGTGCTTTTACACTAGCAATTCTGAAAATGTGGCTGTAAAAGAAGGTATTTATGCATTATGTATTTTCTGTGTCTTACCATTCTGAAGTCACCTTTTGACTTGCTTCCAGTGTGAATATTTTCAGTTTCAGTTCTAAAAACAAAACCAAATATATAGGGAGTGAAGTCTATCAGAAGTCACTAGAAGGGGATTTGATAGCTGCTTTCAACTACCTGAAAGGGGGTTCCAAAGAGGATGGATCTAGACTGTTCTCAGTGGTACCAGATGACAGAACAAGGAGTAATGGTCTCAAGTTGCAGTGGGGTAAGTTTAGGTTGGATGTTAGGAAAAACTTTTTCATTAGGAGGGTGGTGAAGCACTGGAATGAGTTACCTAGGGAGGTGGTGGAATCTCCTTCCTTAGAAGTTTTCAAGGTCAGGCTTGAGAAAGCCCTGGCTGTGATGATTTAGTTGGGGATTGGTCCTGCTTTGATCAGGGGGTTGGACTAGATGACCTCCTGAGGTCCCTTCCACTCCTGATACTCTATGATTCTATAACCAGCAACTACCTTAAATGTTTCATTCAATTTTTATATTACTTGTGACTTGAAAAATATATACCATAGCTTAGGGTTTAATCCTTGGGTCTGATTTTGATTTAAACTTATACGTTTTCATCAAAAAGTGAAAGCTTGAAAACCAGTTTTTGACGAAAACCTTACATTCTTTTAAAGAAAAATGTTAAGGAAAACAAAAATTTCTGCTTTTACTGAAATTGTTCATGGGAACAAAAAACATTTACCAACCAGCTCTACAGTCAAAGGCCAGAAGGAACCATTATAGAGCATTTAGTTGGTCCTCCTGTATATCATAGTATAATGGTGGGAACTCCCCTTTTGAGCAACCCTGGTGGCCTGGTGCGGAATCACAGTTACATCTGTGCCTCAGTTTCCCTTAGTCAATTTTTAATAAGTTCAGTAAAACTTGTATATAGGGAACATTGCCCTCAGGTGTCTAATTTATTTAATCAACTACAAAACAAAGATTCTCCTTTGCTTAGAGCAGTGGCCCTCAACCTTTCCAAACTACTGCACCCCTTTAAGAAGTCTGATTTGTCTTGTGTACTCCCAAGTTTCACCTAATTTAAAAACTATTTGCTTACAAAATCAGACATAAAAATACAAAAGTGTCACAGCACACTATTACTGAAAAATGTATTACTTTCTCATTTTACCACATAATTATAAAATAAGTCAATTGGAATATAAATATTGTACTTACATTTCAGCGTATAGTATATTGAGCAGCATAAAAAAGTCATAGTCTGAATGAAACTTTAGTTTGTACTGACTTTGCTAGTGCTTTTTATGTAGCCTGTTTTAAACCTAGGCAAGTATCTAGATGAGTTGATGTACCCCCTGAAAGACCTCCCAGTTGTACACGTACCCTTGGTTGAGAACCACTGGCTTAGAGCTCTGCAGTCTCTTCCCTGCTGACTCAGGGTAACTCTCAGGAACACCCTGCCTAGAGAGCTTTGTAGACTCTCTCCCCAGGAGCTTTCTCTCTGTGTTCTACGCTCCAGCCTGAGCCTTCTTAACCTTTTATAAAGCCCAGATACTCCTTAACTTAGGGCTTCGACCACAGATCATTCTCCCATCAATTCCTGTAGGGGGAGTCAAGAAGAGAAGGGGGAACCGACAGGAGAGCATCTCCCATCAACACACATAGTGTGGATCCCGCGGTAAGTAGATCTAAGCTACATCGATTTGAGTTACACTATTCACAAACTCAAATTGCGTAGCTTAGATCAAATTTCCCCTGTAGTGTAGACAAGGCCTTAGACTCTGCAGGGAGCACCCTGACAGGGTTGCTTCCCATATAACCCTGGTTTGGGTTCTGGAGGAAAGGAAAGTCCTAGGTCCCCCACCACATTCCCTTAAGGGCTGTTGCCGAGATGCAAGTGGAAGCCTGAAGATTGCTGGCTTGGGGTCAGGAAACAGGCACCTCTTCCACCCTGACAGACAGGGAAGGGGCCAGAGGTCTGGAGCACCAACTACTAGGGTGACCAGCCCTGTGAGCACCTTATCACAAGTTCTGTGCTCATTGCGCTGTCTCAGTGTCAAGAGATGATGCTAGATTTGGGCGAGTTGCGTTGCAGTCTGATGGGGTGGACTAGGCCCAAAGGCCCCCTGCTGGAGGCCTCAGGGCCCTCCCACACCCATCCTAGAAAAGGAGCAGCGGAGAGGTCCTCCAACCTGGCTAGAGTGGCTGCAGGGGAAGCAGACAATCAGAGAGGCTACAGGGAGTAGCCAATGAGGGCCTAGCAGGTTCATATAAAAGGAGCTGCAGGACCGGAGTGAGTTCAGTCTGCTTGTAGGGACCCTGGAAGCAAGAGGTGCTCCTGGCTGGCTGAAAGACCTGGATAAATCAGTCTGCTAGTAGGGACTGGGGGAGCAAGAGGTTCTCCTGCTGGCTGCAAGGCTAAGGCAGGTATTTGCTGGCAGGGACTGAGGAAGAGAGGGAATAGCTTCTGGCTGGCTGCTAGGAAACAATTAAGACGGGCTATGGGGAAGTATCCCACGGAAAAGCAGTTAGTTAAAGGGATATGGCACATGGCTGCTACTTAGAGGGTCCCTGGGTTTGGACACAGAATAGTGGGTGTGCCTGGGTCCCCCCCAAGCCATGGGGGAAGGTGATGTGCCCTGAGAGAAGAGAATTTAGACAGGCCCAGGGAAGGCACTGTACATGGAACTGTTATCCCTGGAAGGGGACTGAATGGAGACTGATGCAGCTGAAGAGCTGGGGTCAGAGGACTAAAGGGCAGGCAAAGACCTTCCAGGGAGGAAGCCCTGCAGGGTGCTACTCCACCCCAAAGCTGGAACCTTCACACGTAAACTGGCCAATTAGGGTACTGAGATAATCCTCAGGCCCTGTTGGTCAAATTGAGACTGGGGAGGGCTACAGAGACATTGCCAACATAGGGGTACTACAGTGGGCCTTTTTGTCCTGTTAAAGGACATTAGCAAGGGCATTCAGCTAGGCCCAGTTGAATTGTATACCTTGGAAGGGGGTTGTTTATTTGTCACACATGGACAGAGTGTGACTTGGCCAGAGGACTGAGTCAATGAAGACCCACCTGACAAGAGCAGCAGCTGAGAGGAGGTACCATGAGACGATAAATTGAGAAAACTGCAAGCATGCACACACTTGACCAGGGGACGCTCATGAGAGGTGGGTGCCACCCCATTACAGAAGCTCTGTTCAGATAGGGTGTGAAACCCTCATCCATCTTGAATTGCTTTGTCAGTCATCCGAAGAAGAATGGACATGTGCAATCACTCAAAGAAGGAAAAACTGTTACTTACCTGTTGTCAAGGTTCCTTCCCCACTCTGAACTCTAGGGTACAGATGTGTCAAGATCAAAGACCCCCTAAGCTTATTCTTACCAGCTTACGTTAAAAAATTCCTCAAGGTACAAACTTTGCCTTGTCCTTGAACCCTTTGCTGCCACCACCAAGCGTGTTAAACAAAGAACAAGGAAAGAGCCCACTTGGAGATGTCTTCTCCCCCCCCCCCAAATATCCCCCAAGCCCTACACCCCCTTTCCTGGGGAAGGCTTGATAATTATCCTCACCAGTTGGTACAGATGAACACAGACCCAAACTCTTGGATCTTAAGAACAATGAAAAAGCAATCAGGATCTTAAAAGAAGAATTTTATTTAAAGAAAAAGTAAAAGAATCACCTCTGTAAAATCAGGATAGTAAATGCCTTACAGGGTAAACAGAGTCAAAACATAGAGAATCCCTCTAGGCAAAACCTTAAGTTACAAAAAGACACAAAAACAGGAATATACATTCCATTCAGCAGAACGTTCAGAACATTCAGAACAGATCAGGAATACTCTTCAGAACTCCTGTAAAAAGTTAGTAAATAATCTAGCTAGAAATGTGTTAGATTTTCTTTTGTTAAATGGCTGGTAAATAAGCCGTGCTGAATGGAATGTATATTCCTGGTTTTGTGTCTTTTTGTAACTTAAGGTTTTGCCTAGAGGGATTCTCTATGTTTTTGTGGAAGTATAACATTGTATAAGTATAACGTTGTATAAGGGGACATGCTGGATACATTGTATGTGAGAGGGCATGCCAAAACATGTTACAAAGTATCTGAGGGAGCACACGTAGGGACAGTTAGCTTTTAAATGGAGAAGCAATTAAGATAGAGCCAGCACGTCTAAGAAGCAGGCATCAGAATGGAAGGTGTGAAGGGCAATTAGTTAAGTTAACTGGAAGCTATTAAAGGAGATTGTTAAGGGTGGCAGGTAATTGAAGATACGTGACTGGTCTCAGGGATCTTGAAGGGTGGTGACTAAAATCTTTTTCTTCTTTTGTCTGTAACTTCTCTGTGACTTGTTCTCCAAAAAACTGTATAAATTAAGAGACACAAGCCCCACTCGGGGGGCTCACTTCTAAATGTATTAGCAGAGCAGCTTTGCTAATAAAACAGAGTGGTCTGATAAATTGTGAGTCTGAGTCAAACTTTGACATTTTCAATCTGATTACCCTGTAAGGCATTTACCATCCTGATTTTACAGAGGTGATTCTTTTACTTTTTCTTTAAATAAAATTCTTCTTTTAAGATCCTGATTGCTTTTTCATTGTTCTTAAGATCCAAGAGTTTGGGTCTGTGTTCATCTGTACCAACTGGTGAGGATAATTATCAAGCCTTCCCCAGGAAAGGGGGTGTAGGGCTTGGGGGGATATTTGGCGGGGGGGAAAGATATCTCCAAGTGGGCTTTTTCCCTGTTCTTTGTTTAACATGCTTGGTGGTGGCAGCATAGGGTTCAAGGACAAGGCAAAGTTTGTACCTTGAGGAAGTTTTTAACTTAAGCTGGTAAGAATAAGCTTAGGGGGTCTTTCATGCAGGTCCCCACATCTGTACCCTAGAGTTCAGAGTGGGGAAGGAACCTTGACATGGTGGCAGAGCTGTGGGATCATTTTAAGATTTTTTTTTTTAGATAATTTTGAAGCAGAAGCACAGTAGGATTTTAAAAGGACATTTTTTTTCCTTTGGGCTGCTTGGAAACAGGTTTTAAGCTGAAAGAAGTTAGAGTTTTTTGTCTCTGCCTGGGGGCCAGAGCAGAGACAAAAGGGAT